ATAGTTTAAATTATGAGTTATAGTTTAATTTATGAGTTATAGTTTAATTTACGAGTTATAGTTTAAATTATGAGTTATAAAGTTTAATTTATGAGTTATAAAGTTTAAATTATGAGTTATAGTTTAATTTATGAGTTATAAAGTTTAAATTGTGAGTTATAGTTTAATTTATGAGTTATAAAGTTTAAATTATGAGTTATAGTTTAATTTATGAGTTATGTAGTTTAAATTATGAGTTATAGTTTAATTTATGAGTTAAAAGTTTAAATTATGAGTTATAGTTTAAATTATGAGTTATAAAGTTTAAATTATGAGTTATAAAGTTTAAATTATGAGTTATTAAGTTTCATTCATGAGTTAAAAATTCAAACTTTTGATATGTCGTCATAATTATTAAAAACTGTAATTTTTTTTATTTGTCCAAATACATTTTTTGTTTAAAAATATTAAATATGAAATATAAAATAAATTTATAGTCATAATCATAAGTCTAATCTCATATTTAAGATAAGATTTTTAAAGTAATTTATGAATTATTTTAAAATTCAGGTAATTTTAAGTTTGTTCAAATGAGTTTGAAAGTCAAGATTTAGTTTTTAGTTTAGAGTCTTCTAAGGTTGTATTTATGAAATATAAAGTTATTCTGCCAACATCATCACATGAACATGTCATCATCCATCCATCCATCCATCCATCCATCCATCCATCCATCCATCCATCCATCCATCCATCCATCCATCCATTATCTTTACCCGTTTATTCCATTTTGGGTCACGGGGGTCGCTGGTGCCCATGTCCAGCAATCACTGTGCGAGGGGCGGGGGACACCCTGGACGGGTCTCCAGTCCATCACAGGGACACATAGAGACAAACGAGACAAACAACCATTCTCTCACTCTCTCACCTAGGGACAATTTAGAGTTACCAATCAGCCTAACATGCATGTTTTTGGTCTGTGGGAGGAAACTGGAGCACCCGGAGAAAACCCACGCATGCACGGAGAGAACATGCAAACTCCACCCAGAAAGGCCCCTGGACCGGGGTTTGAACCAGGGACCTGCTCGCTGAGAGGCAGCAGCTCTACCAGCTGCACCACCGTGCTGCTACATGTCATCATGTCCAGTCAATATATATGTTATTGTTACTGTATTATTATTATTATTATTATTTTTATTATTATGTTTTGAAGTCAAAATTAAGAGTTTAAACATCATCTTTATGAATTACTGTCATTATGAATCTTAAGGTTATAATTATGGAACATAAAGTGATTTTTATAAGAAATATAATCCAGTGTAAATCTACAGGATGATATTTTATTCCATATTTACGAGTTTAAAACATGAAATAATGACTTTTTAACTCAAAGAGGTCAGTGTGTGAATAAATAGATTCATAAGTAACAAAAATACAAACAATCAGATTTTATTTTGTGTTTTCTGACACAGTTCAGTTTCAAATGATCATGTAAATAATCTTGTTTTTTTTCAGTAGCATCAAAATAAATACTCTTAAAAACATCAACAACTTCCTGATATGCAGAGCGTGGTTGAAGCAGCTGAGCAGAAATGATCTTTTACTCTTAAAGCCCTGAAGCTTTTATCTCATGTTTACGCTTAACTTATTGCACTTCCTGTTCCTCTGCTTCTTATTGCACTTCCTGTTCTTCTGCTTATTATTGCACTTCCTGTTGTTCTTGCACTTCCTGTTCTTCTGTTTCTTATTGCACT